AGATCCACCTGCCTCTGCCTCCCAAATGCTGGGATTAAAGGCACGTGCTACCACCGCCAGGCCCCCGGAGCATGTCTGTCTCCCTGCTTGCCCTCTATCCCAGAAAGCCAGGTAAAGGGGAGGAACAGCTCTAGAATGTAGCTCAGTAATAGAGCACATATCCATTCTTAAGGCCTTGGGTTCAAATCTCAGAACCACTAAAATCCAGGAAAAATAAAAAGAAGAGCAGGAAAGTGGGGAACAATAGTCATAATGACAAAGGGCTTTGGGAGGGGCCTGCCCCCCAATAACATCTATTTTACACACTTTATTAACCTTATGGAAGGAGCTATGCCGATGCATTTTTAAATTTCTTACCACCAACTGCCATCCTTCATTTGCCCAACCCATAATATAAAAATATGAGAAACAGATTGACCTTTCTCTAATTTAGACGGAGGCAGAGGGCCAGCTTTGGCACGACTGGTGAGCCTGAACAAAGTTCAAAAGTGTTTCCTTGTGTTCCAACAGGCGAAACTTCCTTGTGTTGGAGGCACTGATACAATCATTATAATAGGAATAAAAATTCTCCTCTATGCTTATGTTTTTCTCAGAGGAGTGCTGTGTCTTTCTGCTCTGGCCCTATTAAGTCACAGGGAAGTCCACTTGTCCAGGGGAGAAGGAGGGAATGCTGGAGTTGGACCCTTGCTCCACCACTAAACCTCAGCCTCAGCCCTGACTCCACTGTGTATAACATTGTAATTAGCCTGCCCCTTTCCTTCAGTGCATGCCTGAAACTCTGAAAGTAGCAACAGCTAATAGAGTTTTTTCTAGTTATACATACAGATGGCAAAGTTTATGTTAGGCCCAGTAAAAGCTTAACAACTTCTAATTAAAATAGAGTATTTTTCACAATATATCATAATAAAAGTCTCATGGGTGTGTTCTCTATTGCTTTCAGGACTTACACCATTCACTTGAAGGAAGCTTTTCCATGGCATCTCTGAATCACATCACTCACTGGGTCATCATTAAATAAAGTAAGAGTTACTTGAACATGACTACTTTTTTTTTTTTATTTTTGAGACAGGGTTTCTCTGTAGTTTTTGGTGCCTGTCCTGGAACTAGCTCTTGTAGACCAGGCTGGCCTCGAACTCACAGAGATCCACCTGCCTCTGCCTCCCAAGTGCTGGGATTAAAGGCGTGTGCCACCACCGCCCAGCTGAACATGACTACTTTGATACCAAAAGAGTTGATCTTTTTTGTTGTTTTTGTTTTGTTTTGTTTTTTGAGACAAAGTTTCACTGTAGTTTTAGAGCCTGTCCTGGAACTAGCTCTTATAGGCCAGGCTGGCTTTGAACTCAGAGATCTGCCTGCCTCTGCCTCCCGAGTGCTGGGATTAAAGGCATGCGCCACCAGCCTGCACTATTTTATTTTTATGAGTAAATAATTTGCCTGCACATATATGTATGTATGCCACATGCCCTGTGGAGTTCAGAGATGGTATCAGATTCCCCTGTGAAGTTACAGATAGCTGTGAACCAGATGTGAAGGCTGGGAAATGAATCTGGGTCCTCAGCAAGAGCAGTCAAGTGTTCTTAACTACTGAGTCATCTCTCCAGCCCCCACAATTTAAATCTTCCAGAGGACCTAAGTTCAACTCCCAGCACCCTCATGGTGAGTAGAAAGGTTTTAGTGGAAGAAAAAGCCAACTCTTTGTCCTTCACACATATACAAACAATAATAATAAAAAAAATTAATATTTTTTTGAAAAAAAATTGTAAAGTATGGCTTGAGGATATAGTTCAGTGTTGAAGACTTGACTCTTGTGTGCCAAGCTATTGGTTGGATCCCTAGCAACTCAGAGCGAACAATTGCAAATCAGGGTGTGGATGTAGATTGTGAAGTTGTTAGAGGATGGAGCCAGAGCAGAATCTCAAAGGTTCCTTAAGAAGCAGGTAGTAGACTGGGCGGTGGTAGCGCACGCACACCTTTAATCCCAGCACTTGGGAGGCAAAAGCACACAGATCTCTGTGAGTTTGAGGTCAGCTTGGTCTACAGAGCGAGTTCCAGGATTGGCTCCATAGCTCCTGGGATACCCTATCTTGAAAAAATAGAAAAAGTGGGTAGTGGTGGCCCATGCCTATAACTGCAGCACTCCTAAGGAATTGGGAATTCAAGGCCAGCCTAGGCTACAAGAGCTAGTTCCTGCTTTAGCTCAAAAATAAACTCAAACTTAACTCCAGTAGAGTCAGAGTCAGGTGAATCTCTGTGAACTCAAGATCTATATAGTGAGTTCCAGAACAGACAAGGCTCTGTATCAGAAATAAACTCAGCATGAAATCTTGGCTTCTTGAAGCAAGAACACTTTCAAGGGCATAAACTGACTGAGATTTACATCCACCTTCCCTCCACAACAGTCTCAATTTTTTTTTTCTTTTTGGTTTTCAAGACAAGGTTTCTCAAACCGGGTGGTGGTGGCACATGCCTTTAATCCCAGTACTCAGGAGGCAGAGGCAGGTGGATCTCTGTGAGTTCCAGGCCAGCCTAGTCTACAAGAGCTAAAGACAGGGTTTCTCTGTGTAACAGCCCTAGCTGTCCTGGAACTAGCTCAGTAGACCTACCTGGCTGGTCTTAAACTCACAGAGACCCACCTACCTCTACCTCCCGAGTACTAGAATTTAAGGCATGCGCCCCGCACACCATCTTAATTTTATATCCTTATTTTCATCCACTCTTCAGAAAACTTCAAGAATAAAGTAGCTTGAGGCACTAAAAATAAAGAGCACCCGGGCATGGTGGTGCATACCTTTAGTCCCAGCACTTCGGAGGCAGAGGCAGGCAGAACAGTTCGAGGACAGCCTACAAAGTGAGTCCAGGATAGCCAAGGTTACACAGAGAAAACCTGTCTTGAAAAAAAAAAAAAAACTAAAAAGAAAGAAAGAAAGAATCAAGGAGGTACATCAATAGGCTTGTTTCTCTACCTCTAAGCAAACTTCCCCTAGAAGAGTTGTGATCTGTGTCCCTCCAAATTATCTCAAAAACTGTAGGATTGTACCCTTCCTCTTCCCATTATGATCTCTTGGTTTATCTGCCCAGCGAGGGGTTTTGAATGGCAGGAGGGTGGTAGAGGTGAGGGCAAGGCAAGTTTCTCGCACATAACACACACATGCTAAGCTTTGGGTTCCTGAGGAAAGACGTCCAAAAATCAAGATGAAGATGAAGTAGGGTGGAAGAATCCTGAACTAGAGACAGAATAGATAAAGGGTGTGTGAAACCAAGGCGTTCCAATTTGACTCCTTTCTCTCCAAATGATGCAGAGTTGAGAGACGTGGGTAAAGATGTTGGAGAAGAGATGTCAGATTCCGAAGATACCCTGACCCTGGAGATTAGACAACCGCCTTCTCAGCAGCAGAACAAGGAACCGGGACACACCGCTGGTTCCCAGGTTCATCTATTCCCTGACCCGGAACAGCAGCGGGTTTCTTCGCTACGCCGGCAGCCCACGTGCTGGCAACCGCGACCACGTGGGGCCCCCGAGGAAACGCCTTCGCAAAGATTTGTCCCCTCCGCTGTCCAGTAGAGAGGAAGGCCGCGATAGAGCGCCGTAGGAAACAGTTCGGGCCACCAACCCAACTGGCGTGTGCCAGAGGCTGCGGGGGAACGGGGCGGGGCGGGACGGGGGCGGGGCTTGGTTTAGACCCCTAGTGGGGAGGGCGGGTCCCGGGGCGAGAAAACGGGAGTGGGGGGGCGATCTAGAGGGCTAGCAGGTAGCTGTTTGGTTTTGCCAGGGCTCCTCCGTTTGCTCCCTACAAAGGACCCCAGCGTGACGGGCCCTTGATTCACCATGGAGTCCACGCTGACCGCGGGCATCGCGATGGCTGAAGCGCTGCAGAACCGGCTTCCCGGGCTAGAGAATACGTGGCTCTGGGTCACCTTTCTGGGAGATCCCAAGAACCTCTTTACATTTTTCTTCCCCGCGGCCTACTACGCCTCTCGCCGACTGGGCATCTCCGTGCTCTGGATCACCTTCATTACTGAGTGGCTCAACCTCGTCTTCAAGTGGTAAGATGAGATGCTTCAGGCATCCTGGTCCCCTACCCTTCTGAGGCCCTGATTTCCCTCTAGTAGGCACCTCAAAGCCAATGCCACCCTTATCCCTTAGGGCCTAGCTTTCACCTTGAGTTTCTTTAGATCTTGACCGCAGACCTCACCACACTTTACCCATCCTCGAACTGTCCCGATCAGAGAAATGTCTTAAGGGGCGTGTTCAACTGCAAATACAGCCTCCGACCTTCCGATTGCAAAACTTCAAATTTAGTTGTAGTTGAAATTTACATTGTAGCAATTATTGCCAGAAATTTAGGTAGCCGAAAGTCTTCTTTCTTAGTTGCCGGTTTCACTCATTGGTTCATTTGCTTGACGTTGTGCTAGGCAGCAGCTGCTTTGTAAATTAAGGTGCGGTTCCTGGTTCGGGCTCAAAAGCATAGGCAATGCTTGAAGACTTACTAGAAATACAAAATCTCAGACTCCAGGCCAGATCTGCATTTTAACAAGGCCCCCTGGTTATAGAGTGCCCCAGTGAAGTTTAAGAGGTACCAAACTTTAGGGACTAAAAGGAAGTCTTGCCCCTCCCTTCAGGGAGCAGTTCTTTCTCCAGCAGTTACTAATACAACTTTTCTCATTCTTAGAAGCCTGATAGTACTGGACCTCCTGCAGCGCTTGGGGTTTATTTGTGTCACTTTGTTGGTTTGTTTTGTCTTTGGAGTATGGAGGGGAATTCCTGGACACGCAGCTCCACCTCAGCTGCTGATGCCCTGACCCCAGCCTTAAAGTAGGAAGTGGGGGCTCATAAGGAGGCACTAAATGGACTAGGGTGACATACTGGAAAGCAGACCAGGAGTCCCCCTTCCCTCCCGCCCTATCCACAAGGGCTTCATCCTTACTTGTAACCCTAAAAGAAATTGTCTAATCATTTCCTTCTGGTCTAACGGTCCCATCCTAGACTTTTTGCTCTCCCCTCCCTCGGAGTCTGTGCTCAAGTATGAAAGTCCTAATTCTCCTCCTCCACCATTGAAACAAGGTTGCACTACCTAACCCAGAATGATGGTCTCCCCAGTGCTGGGATGACAGGCATACACTAGCATGCCTGACCTCATATTCATTTTATAGCTTTGTGGTCAACACTTGCTGTGTTTGAGGCTAAGTTTTTTTGGGGAAAAGGAAAGTCTCTTCTGAACAACCCTACCCCCCAGCATTTTCCTTCCTGCTCTCCCCTTTTTCTCTTTCTGGCCAGAGCAGCTTTGTCTATGTTGGGTGCTCTAGAGTCCAGACGAGCACCTGCTAGGCCAAGGGAGCTGGATTTGGGGGGTAGGGGTGTTGTCTGTAGTTTTTCTCAGACTCCTCTGTACATTCCCTCCTCCCAGTTTCACCTATATAATTCAGGAGTGGGTAACTCAGGCTGGAACCAGGGACCTGAGAGGGGGACAGGGACGGAGAAGATGGTCAGGAAGGCCAGGTCCTAAGAAGAGCTGGCCATGCAGTGGGAGGTATAAGAGTGGGTCACATGTCTCAGAACACATGTACACACACACAGTCTCTCTACAACCTCTGGCATCCATATCCCTTTAAAAGGAAAATATGTGCTTCTCTGTTTTAAAGTAGAAAGTCATGGTAAGATAATAGCTAGAATCAGTGCCCTTCTGAGTGCACCCGGCAGGGCCTCCTGATTCCTGCTGCTCCCTGGATTCCTCTAGCACTGTGTGTATATCATATGGTCTCCTATCTTGTCTTCTAGGTTTCTGTTTGGAGACAGGCCCTTTTGGTGGGTGCATGAGTCTGGATACTCCAGCCAGACTCCGATCCAGGTTCACCAGTTCCCATCTTCTTGTGAGACCGGTCCAGGTGGGAAAAGTTCCAACCCCCTCCCATTCCTGGTGTGGTTAAGGTTTGGATAAACTATACAAGCCGGGCAGTGGTGGCACAATGCCTTTAATCCCAGCACTTGGGAGGCAGAGGCAGATGGATCTCTGTGAGTTCAAGGTCAACCTGGCAGGACAGTGAGGGCTGTTCACAAAAGAAATCCTGTCTTGAAAAACCAAAACATTAAAAATAATTTAAAAAATAAGGTTTGAATAAACATTTCCATATACTTCAGCTAGGGTGGTCCAAACAGGCCCAGTCTCTCAGTTATTGGTCCAGAAAACAAACTCTGGGAAAGACTAGGTTGAGTGGCATGCCTCATGCTGGCTCTTCACCTCATAGTAAAGCCAGGGTCTCAGCAAGTCAGCAGCCTGAGAACAGTGACCTTGAAAGAAAGGCCTCAGGGGGAGTGATAGGCTGGTACTGGACCAGCTGTTTTCACATCCACGGGAGGCAGATGTGTTGAGGGATCACCAGGGGCACCTGGGTTTCACCTTTACTTTTTCACCGTGAACTTCTGGATCTCCCGGCAGGCAGCCCTTCTGGCCATTGCATGATCACGGGAGCAGCTCTCTGGCCCATAATGACAGCCATTTCTTCTCAGGTGGCCTCTCGGTCCCGCAGGTATGACCATGGTATTGCCCACCAGTAGGAGCATCCTCGACCTCAAAGGCTCCACAGCGCATTAGTTTGGGAATTAGCTGAACCGGAGCTGTGGTGTCCTGGGGGTGTCGGTTCAAACTCTGCAAGTGTTTGGATGCGGAAGGAAAGCAAATCACGCTCGTTCTTCAGCCTTTGAGCAGTCTCTCTTTTCTTCCTAGCCCCTGGGTAAGGGTGATTCCTGGCCTGGCTTACTGCACCTTCCTGTTGGCTGTCGGCCTCTCTCGGGTCTTCCTCTTAGCACATTTCCCTCACCAGGTGTTGGGCGGCCTGATAAGTGGTGAGCAACTGGGGCAGCACGGTGGGCCAAGAGGATGTCTTGGGCAGTAGGAGGAGTAGTTTAGGAACTTCCCAGAATTCCCAGCTTCTGTAGAGCCAACCTCGAGGTCCTCACCTTTGTCTTAGTTTTCCTCCCAAGATGAACTGCAGATGGGGGGGGGAAGATCATTTCCTCCAACATCTGGAAACTGTTTTGCATCCCTTTAGGTGCTGTCCTTGGCTGGCTGATGACCCCCCGGGTGCCCATGGAACGAGAACTTAGCTTCTATGGGTTGACCGCTCTGGCCCTCATGCTGGGGGCCAGCCTCATGTACTGGACTCTCTTTACACTGGGCCTAGATCTCTCCTGGTAAGTCCTGCTTTGGAGTCTGGGCAGCTGGGCCCTGATAGTGAGTCTCTGGTTCACGGTGGCAATCAAGGACACACGAACTGTTCCTAGACATATGTGGAGTCAATACATGAGTAGGGCCTCCAAAGGAGGATGACTGTGAGCCAGTGGCTCTCTGGATTCCAGTCTCTCCTGGCAAAGACTCTTCTTCCTCACAGGTCCATCAACCTGGCTTCCAAGTGGTGTGAGCGGCCCGAGTGGGTGCATTTGGACAGCCGGCCCTTTGCCTCGCTGAGCCGTGACTCGGGAGCTGCCCTGGGTATGGGTATCGCTCTACACTCTCCCTGTTATGCCCAGATACGGCGGGCACGCCTAGGAAATGGCCAGAAGATAGCCTGCTTTCTGCTGGCCACTGGGCTGCTGGTCATCCTGGAATGGCTGGGCCACCCACCTCAGATCAGCCTCTTCTACATCTTCAACTTCCTCAAATATACCCTCTGGCCCTGCCTGGTCTTGGCCCTTGTGCCCTGGCTAGTGCACACATTCAGTGCCCAGGGATCACCACCCATTCACTCCTCTTGATCTCATTTGCCTCCCTTGCCATTCTCTTGCCCCAAAGACAACACTCCTCGACCACCACACTCTAAGAGGCAGTTTCCCTGGGCTCCAAAGCAGGCCAGCTCACACTGAACTGCATTTCTGTCTCATGTTCTGCAGTTTTAGCCCCCTTTTAAAGAAGGACCTCTGTTTCCCAATGAGGCTGTCTCCTGCCTTCCCCCAGGGTTCCCACGAAAGAAAGAAAGAAAGAAAGAAAGAAAGAAAGAAAGAAAGAAAGAA